TGAAAGAATCAACAGTCCTGACCTGCCTTTACCACCACTGAGATGCCGATCCTGTTATCTGCAATCTTATTCAATGGGTGAACTGGAACTGGCTTTGTGACTAAACCTACTACTAAACCTATATCGGAAGATTCTGCCTTTTAAGGTAGACTTTTGACCCCCTGGCTTCCACGTCTTCAGCTGCCCCAGTGGCCTGATTGAAGCGTGTCCGAGGCCCAATCTCCACTGGACTGAGGCGAGTCGGTCCTTGCAGGTTTGGACGGAAAAACCATCGGCCTGGATGGAAACCTCAAACGCACTTTGAGTGAAAGCAACGACATGTCTGGCGTCAAGGAAGGGACCGATCGTCTAAACCCAGCTCCGAAGATACCCCAAAAATCTGGCATTCCAGCTTTGTTGGGGTAACTGTACAAGTGGCACTGCCAAGATTTCGATGAGCGATGCTTTTCTGAGGGCTCTCAAGCTGATAGAGAAACATCCTCCGCAGAATGGTGAGAACTGTTTCTTCTCTTAGCATCTCCAGCCATGATTGCTGAGAATTCCGACACCTCTGGGCCTGCCAGTCTCCAGAAACTCTACAGCCCATAAGGACGGCCCCAGTCGAAGACACAGCGCTTTCCATGCCAAGAGGCGAGGTCTCCGTTTGCGTCGTCGCGTCGCTCCGAGCCGAGGAGGTGCGAGCCCGGGCCGTCGCCTGCGACGCGTGGCGCGCGTGGCTGAGCTGGGCGGCTCCATGTGGCTCCGCTTGGAGCGAACGGTTTGAGCATGAATCGTTGGTGGGACGCAGTTGGAAACCTAGCTGTGCGTATCAGCCGAACAATTTGGGTGAGCCAGCCTTGCACAATAGCAAACCCAAAAGGCTGAGTTCATCTTGACATCATCACAGAGTTCTGTGATATGCCTACACGGGTGACACGTTTACTCCATGGTTATATACTAGTAGCTTCTCGTTCCTAGTAGTGATGCCAGGAGCTACTAGCTTCTTGCTGCTAGTAGCGATGCCCTTTGTTACTAGTAGCGTTTTTGCACATCGTGGGACCACCTGACCTTCCACATCCTCGCGCCCAACCTTGGAGCTCGCACCGGACTTCGGGCCTTATGGAACTGAGCGACCGGCAACTCACACCCTCGGCTGTTTCGAGCCGCAAGGTGAGCCATTCACACTGCCCGACCCTCAACTTGCCATTCTAGGCATTTCTAGGCTCACCACTGGTCCGCAGGCTTGTCCGTGCAATCTGCCGTGGCCCCATCGACGACATGGCTCTGTAGCTCTCTGTAATCCCGAGTACCTATTAAAAAACGGACCCCTATTAAAAAAGAGTCATGTCGGATCCCCTAAATACGGCTTATATTTGTTTTTAAATTGCCGCCCTTTCAAGCCGCTACTAAACTACCAACATGGCCGATTTTGGAGGGGCTTTTCTTATTAGGTTCCAAAAACAACCGTAACTGCCCACCTCTGTCCGCCCTGTCCATCCACCATGACACTCCGCGCCTACACCAGCAGGCTTTCCTTCCCCCAATGGCACGGACTCACGCAAACGCACTTGCCACCGAGGTCATGCAACACCGCATGGCACAGCGACATCACCTTTCGAAAGCTTTAGCTGTTAGTCTACTGAAGAATTCTAATGAAGGTTTTTGTAGGGGAAAAGGAAGACCCTTCGATCTGGAGGTTTGTTGCATTTTTGATACGAGTTTAAAAAAGGATTTTAGATAAACATTTCCTGGATTACTTTTTGGTATTGAAACTCTTTCCAGGTGACCCTATTTTGGACCCCCGGATTTCAGGGACCCCCTAGTAGAAAAAATGCGACCGCGGTTTCCTTATTAGGGGGGGGGGGCCGGGTTTTTTAATAGGTGGACCGGATTAGCTCTGCAGATCCCCATGAAAGATTGACCAAAACATTGTCTAACCATGTCTAACCGCTGTCCTGGCATCTGATGCCCACGAACCGACGAGCGAGAAACCAGAATCGGGCAGTTCAATTAAATGCAGTTTTGGCACACTCGTCCGCAGAACTCGCTTTCGTTCAGTCAAGATGTAAACATGCCCTTGTGTCGCGAGCTCATCAAGGAACAGCTTGTTCAAAAGTTGGCCAGCAACATTCTGCGTATTGAAAGTTCGTGCATACACAACTCTTGCTGCAAATTTCCGGCCCATCACTCGACTTTTTCAACTCTGCCAGCAAAGGCGTCGCAGTCACAGTCATTAATCATGAAGCCGTGAGCGAAGTGGAAACTAAACAACGATCAAACTGATCAAACCATGCAAAACAATGCACCTATGCAAACGAGGTGTAAGCAACACGGCATACATCCTTGGTGAGTTATACCAGTTGGCCAGCATTCATTTGCGGCCCAGGGCATTGCCATGGTCTGGTAGCTTGCAATGGTAGATTGATTAATGAATATATACTGTGAAGGAAGAATCATGAATCTGAATAATTCTAAGTTTAGGTGAAATGAGGTGAATATGACGACGTGACAAGATCGCATGGCCTTTTCATTGGGAGGCATGCTTGGAAGTTTTTTTGGTGCCACAATGACAAGGAAACTCTGTCTTTGAACATAGTAGCCGCAGCATCGTCGAAGGGGCTGTCTCTCACTCTGTTCCCTGTGCCATTTTCAGTTTGAGATGCAACATCCTGCCGGAAGACATGCACTGGTCAGTTTGAGATATGTTCTTAGCACAGGTATTCACTGGCTGAATTTTCCCCCAGTTATGGCCAACGTGATGTGAATGAGACACATGATGCAGGTGGAATTCCAAGTTCTGCAAGTGACATCAGGTGATGCTCTACGATGTTTTTCTGATGAAACACCCGTCTCTCAAAGTTGCCAGCAGCGATGTCTTTTGCACATGCGACAACGTTCGCTCGACCTCTAATCATGGCGCAGTTGCCAGAAGCCCAGCCCAGGAGTCACGGCAGCATTCTTCAGATGGTGACCGTGAGAATCTGACACATGAAGCCAGAAAGCTCCAAAACATGTTGTTGTTGTTGTTTTCCTTTTTTGGGGGGGAAGGCCGTTAGAGGTAGGGCTAGTAGGTAGAAGTAGCTACTACCTAGGGACGCAGGATAGCTCACGCTTCTTCAACGAAGCTTCGCCCGCCGCCCTAAAGGCGGCGGGGTAAGTTTCCTTGAAGAAGCGCTCGCACTAATGATTTGGTTTCTAGATTAGTAGGGACACTTATTCACATTGACATTCTCTCTTCTGTCCCTTATTTTGACCACTAGCGGCGGTGCTGATCATAGCAACACATTGTGCTGGATGGATTCCTTTCTATGCACCGACGCTTTTTCTATCTCCAGTTTTAAGCAGCAAGAGTTGAGCTGAAGGGCCATGTTCCAACGAAGCCAAAGCAAAGCCAAAACACCGCAACCCCTCTTTTCGAGACATACATCACTTCAAGAACATATTAAAAACTATAGCAAACTGGGACCTACAAACATACAGGCCTTGCTTAGGTGCAAGTCTCTGTGCAAGTCCAATCATCTGCAACATTTGACATCGTCAACAGCGTGAAGTCATTTCCTATACAAGGAACTTATACATTTGCTGTCTTATAATGTCCAACGTGACAAGTTCCGAAACACGCAAATAATCAAAGAAGCGATGACACGGCCAGCCCATGCTAGCCCATCATTGACGTGCGCGACAAAGCCAGTCCATCCCTGAGGACTAAGGCACAAACACTATGGCACTATGGACACTAACCGGCATGATGCCATGCATGACCAAAAAAAAACAATAGCCAGCAAAGCACCTTGGCAAAGAAAAAATCATGAAGTATGTCGCAAGAACATCAAGGAGACAGCCAAACTGCCCATCACATGAAAAACAAGCTTAAATGGTGGAAACCCTGCCAGCGCAGCTTCCATCACAGATCGTAGACACCGTCCCTCAAAAATGATGAAAAACAATCCCAAACCTGCCAGTGCAGATCGTAGAAATCATCCCTCCCATGTGAGCTGATGACCCTTAATTATCAGCTCTGATCCAGCGGCTCTTTTCACATGGGCTCAGGCGATTTCTCGCCGGTGATCGAGGTCTTTAAGGCTGCGTCAAGCGGCGAGAACCCCCAAGCTGCACTGATCGGATCGATGTGGTGTTATTGGACTCTTTCACGACCCAAAAAAAAACAACATAACACCACACAACAAAAAGTAAAGAGTCCAATTGGTCCCTGGTCCCAAGACCCAGCAGCGGACACCTTCCAGGATTGGGCCGATTAGTTGTGAAGTCACATGCTGCCCCCCCCGAAGGCTGAGGAAGTGAAGTCACATGGCTGCCGATTTGGGCGAAGTGATCCAGCTGCTTTAGGGACATCCTTCGGTTTGCGAGAAGTCTCATACAGCTTCGCAGCTCAAGAGCATCAAGGTCACTTGGCTCTGACGCCAACGTGCGAATTTGCATCATCCAGGTCTGGGAAATGCAAGCAAAACAAGGATATTCTCTACCCTCGATGGCTTCCTGAACCCCGTATCCTTGTAAGTTGAGCCCTTCACCCCCTCCCCCCCAAAAAGGTAGAACCAGCACATCAAATCAAGGAAGTGACTGTATGTTTCAAGGCAGCTCCTTTCAGAATCAGGCCCTGTTTCGGCCCCTTGTTCAAGCCAAAGCGGTCCGATTTTTGGAGCTCATCTCCTTGGCCTGGCTACTTGGAAAACTCCAACAAAACCTCCAAAACAAAGGGCTCGGGGCGAGAACCGCCGTTGGTGCGGCGCATTTGATGCTCCCGCTGAATGGAAATCTGACTGTAAGTACTCATTTTGTCCTTTTGGCAAGCCTCACCAGAATCAACCAATTAGGACGCTGATTCACTGATGGAGTTGCCAGTATAACTTTGGGGTTCCAATGCAGTCTTTATCGGCTGCGGACGGTACACTACGAACCGACGTTTAGGGAACACCTGTGCTGGATACACATTGAACTGATTCTTGAAAGTTCTTTTCCAGCCCTTTGTTCCAGGAGTTGGGTGCCGAATTCCAGTAGGCTCAGATGCCCAGTGCTGCTCTTTGTGCCAGTGCCTGGGCAGAGCTCAACAAGACATTCTGGATGCCAAATCCATCACAGCACAATTCCTGCAAGACACTAATGCTATCTAATATCTATTATATATATATATATATTTATAAAATATATTATATATAGTTATACGTCACTAGGGTCACCCAGCAGTATAGCAGTGTACCAAACAGGCCCCCCAGACCCAAATCAAATCGCAGTGTATCTCACCATTTGCATGTGGCCAGCTGTAGGTGCTTTGACACGACCTCACCATATCTCTCGAATCCACAACGACATGAAGCGAAAACTGCTCCCACCATGCCTGAATCTCTCCAACAGCCTGCCAGCGAATAGTGGAGTCTAGAACTCCAATGTCCAAGGCACAGCTGAAGCTGAAGCCTACAGGTTGTCTCGAAAAGGTCTTGGATCTTTATCCATCATCTATCCCTGCAACTCGAGTCGGCTCAACAAGCTTTGCTGAAGCCACTGCATGCGTTTAGATCAGTGGCCTTTCGTCCCAAAGCAGCGATGTCAGGATCGCCCATCTTCATCGCGTTGCCCACCTAAGTATTTTGCCCCCAGGGATAGCCATAGCCCCGTGCCTATCCCACCCACACACACACACCGCGGTTCATCAGTGAACCTGAGCCAACGAAGCCCTTTCCACTCCACCTTCGCAAACAGCCTTTCCAAAAGGGGTATGGATGGCGACATCTTGATTGGATCTCAACGAAGGGACTCCGCTTGGGGCAAATTGAGATGTTGGTCAACCGCAAGTAGCCGCCATCACCTAAGGACCGAATGCCTGACCATGTCTCAGTGCGCTGCGACGATCACAGGCAGCTGCGACGATCATGGGGCCCTGACATCCTTTCCAACTTTGCAAGTCTTCACCGCATCATATGTGACTTTGCTCTCCTGCGGGCCCGCAGGATCCCGTAGGGATCCCGTAGGGCCTGGTGAAAGGCACCAAAATAAAACCCAACAAGACATGGGAGGGGGATCATGTGGACTAGGTGGCAGGGTTGCCCTATTCTGATGCACCCGTATGGCCCACATCTGAAGTAGTCTCCGAGGATGCAATGAAAACTAGTGCGAAGACATCTGGCATCATCGAGCGCTTCGCATCAGCCTTCCATGTAGACGTGCGAAGCCTTCTAGTTACATGCGCACGGCACAGAAAGCAAGTTCATACTTTTGTCGTACCCTGGGGTCATTTGCATTCATTTGCATAGGCATGGAATGTGGAGGACGTGGGAGGAGGCACAAACATGTTACAATTGCCTGGCAGTGTCCTAGTATTATATACATTTAATGTTATGATCATATAATAGCTGAAGGATGCTGAAGGTCCGAGAATGGATTTGAATTCGTTCTACCGGACTCTCACAAACGTTTTCACCTCATCCTCCCCTTCACCTGACGGCACCTGACGGCACCTGTGCTCGCGTCCTTGAACATCCCTAGCAATGCTTCAAGGATCTCGCTAACCTTGGGCTTGTCACCTGACAGCTGGTGCCCCGAGGCAATCAATGGCGATCGATAAGCCACTAGTGGTGTAAGGCCAGGAGCCCCGATGGTAGCGTCCGTGCTCCGTTCGTAGCGATGCACTTTGTTACTAGTACAAGTAGTGTCCTTGTTCCTAGGCAAAATGAGAAACGTCAAGCTGCCACATTTTATCCATCACTTCTACCGTGCGAGAGAAGGCAGCCTTGTTAGAGACGATGTGAGCTGCACTGGTCAGCGCACCAAGGACCAAGGAGCTGTCCGACTCCAGCACGGATTTCTTGAGTTTAAAGTACGTATGTCCGGACAAATGCGCGATGTTTCGGAAGTATCCGGCAGCCAAATGTTCTTGGTCCAAGATTTCCACCACGGCACTTTGTGGATACATCCACATGGAGTGGATGAGTCCAGCCCCATGCACCCCTACCAGGATATCGCACATGTAAATCTTGGCCACTTGCTCCTTGATTGGCACCAAGTAGGTCAAGTTAAGATAGTGGAAGCCCAAAGGCTGCTTATCCAACAAGACTTTGTTGGTTGCCTGTCTCAAACGACCAATGCTGGCATCACTCAACTCTCTCGTCGAGCCCGGCCGGGCCATGTAGCAAACACTCCGCCCAGTGGCTCGGGTGACATACTCCGACTGACGCACACCAACGCCCGCGAAGGCCGCCGCTTGGAAGTCAAGCCAAAGATCGGATCGCACGCACAGGAGGCGAAGGTCCCAGGCCAAGTCCCAAAGAAAACCATTCCATGGAGCAATGATACGATGTTCAAAGCCACAGTCTTTGGAAGTTGTAGTTCCAAGGAGGTGCCACTGATATGGTCCCTTGTCAGTCTTCACATTCGCCAGCGGGGATTCCTCGACATAGTAGTAAATGGTGACATAATCTCCCAGCACCTTTTTGAGTTGTAAAACTCTGGGAGTGACCCAAGCCTCAAAAATTGCAGTCATTCGATGCCAAATATTCGGACTGAAACGGTCAGCGCTTTGCACCACGACTACGGCAGTGCCCTCTTGCACAGCGCCACCCTTCTCGCAAGGCTCACCACGAGACCATTCAGCGAATTCCTCCCTTCGCTCGCCTCCTCCACGCTGGATGTTCCACTCGATGTATGAGCCACTCGACCGGGAGACCTTCCAAAAACTGGCCACCCCAGACCAGGTCCAGTGGGGATTGCACAAGGCAGAGCTGTTATCTTTCCTCCTTTCTGGAAGATCCATTTGAAGGACTGGACCCAAATGAGGTTCTGCCTTTGTGTCCTTCGGCGCGATGGTCTGAGATACGTTCTGAGTCTGAGATGGCCTTTGGCGGGAGACCTCCAGAAACAATGGGCTGGTGCAAGGCAGTGTTCCCCACAAGCTACCCACACTTTGGAGTGTCAAACACAGTGTGCCGGTCAAACAGCAACAGCACGCACAGCTAAGGATCCAATAGTCTGGAGGCTTTGTTCCTGGATGCATTTCTTTTGACTTGGAGGTGGTTTTGCTTCTTGGGACTCAGCTCCGCTGATCATCACCATGAGTCCCTCAAATCAAGCCATTCAAGTTCCTGGAGCCAAAGCAACTATACAATACTATACACATGATCACTCTTGACCAATGAAACACCTTTAGCATCGCCACACCTTTTCACCCATGCGGGTCCCTTTAGCTTCTCGGTCAGAGACTCTAGTTGCACGAAATCCCCCCAAAACCGACCTGGATCCGTCGCTGTGTCGCTTGTGGTGCCTGCAGTCACAGCCTGCTGCAAATCCTTCTGCAGCTCCTGGGGGCACACGGATGGCTACGCGGACATGGCCACACGGCCAAGCAAACGGTACCACATGGCCCCACGGCAGTCAAGCACCTCCCATCTGTGAACTGCTGTGTCAGCAGCGATGTAGAGTATAAGCTCGTAAATCCAAAAGGATGTACCGGACGTCTCCACGTTGTTTTTGTTTTTTTGTGGATTGCTGTTGGATCTGTTGGCTGGTTCATTGCATGCTCCTTCCGGTGTCCGCGTTGTAACCTCTCGATGAAGCCAAGTATTTGGTGAACATCGTTCCGGGCCTCCACAGTGCCAGCACCTTGCTTCAGCGACAGGTCGTTCTCTAAGCGGTTGATCCTGGCCATGTTTGTTCTTGGTAATTCTCCGTGAGCTACTTGCGGAATAGAGTTTGTACTTGCAACAGGCTAGCACAATGACTCAGAATAACCCAACAGTGGTTGGGGTGGCAGCTCTTGAAATGTCCAAAATCAGGAAGGTTTGGAGCACAGTGCCCATGCCGCAGCTTCTTCAAGAGTACAACCCACTGATTTGTATCCTTTCAGGAATGTCAGTCAAATCGCCACAAGTTGACCCTGGGGGCATACTACTATCTTTATGATTCTTTATGTTGCCAAGTGCCAAGTCTCTTGGTCGCATGGTGGGGGGGTTCGGGCATCCCACACGAGAACATGACCATCATGGCAATCTGCGACTTCTTTTGAACCGCCGTCGACATCGTCGACTGTCGCTCATGGCTGCCGACGCGACACTGATGGCCGTTGTGGCCGTTGTTCGACGAAGTCGGGTGAACTTCTTCACTTCGATGTGAGTTTTCGTACTTCGAAGCAGCATTCTGGCCCTTTTCAGGTTTTGGCGGGTTCTCTTTTGGAGTTGTCTTTTGATGGCTCGATAGCGATGTCTGTAGAAACCATTGCATTTCAAAGTCAAAGCAAGGTTTCAACTGGAGTAGCATCTTTGAAGTGCTCAGACCGAGACCTCCCAAAAAGTGGATGTCTCAGTCAAACCTTGAAAGAGATGCCAGAAATCAGGACCGTGACGTTGAGAACTTTGCCCATCGCGCATGCTGGAACCAATCCAATCAGCCTAACCAAACTCTCGCCTTTTGGATGTGTACATCCTGATGTATACATCTAGATTTTGCGTTGTATATATATTTTATATATATACATTTAAAAATGTGCACACGACATATGCGTACACATCATGTTCTGTCTATAGTTCTATATTTCATGTTTTCCGGGTCGGATTATATGTCAAATATTGTCAAATCAAGTCAACTCCAAGCTACTCAAGCGTTGTGACTTTGCTTGACCAACCGCGGTGCCCCCAAAAACAAACAGAACAGTGCTGAGAGCTTGATGGATGACGCATCGTCAGCCCAATGTGCGTATTCCGAGGTGGTTGAGAGCTGGATCATCAAGTAGGGCTTCAACAGTTTGCACCTTGACATCCTCCCCATCCCCATCCATCTCCTTGTTTCCAGGCGTAGTTGAAAGTTGAAACTGAAGGGAAAACATCAAAGGCAACCTCAAAACCCTCCCAAATGCATCCTTTTTTCCCGAGTTATCCGCAAGCATCTTCAAGTTTGATGTTCATCATTTTGGCCCTTGGTCATTCTGTGTACATTCGACTTATCAGCTTCAACCTCCGCCGGGGGCTTCAAAGACGTCGAGAATGGAACGCCACCGGTGCCACCAGTCGAATGACTTGCCGGCTGAACTTTGGAAATGATCTGTTCCTGGCAGTGTCTGGTATCTTCCAGAACTAAACTAGGGTAGCAAATTCCAAGAAATACCTGATCATTAAGGTATTCGGCTTAAACAAGTCTAAGCTAGCTCTCTCGCTCTCGCGCTCGCTTTCGCGCTCTCGCTCTCGCGCTCTCTCTCTCTCTCTCCCCCTCTCCTCTCTCCTCTCTCTGTGCCTATCTTGCTCTGTGATGTTTTTTCTGAAAGTTTCCAGTAGTTTCCATCCTCAAGCGGACATGCCACGATTTGGACATGCAACACTGGCGATGCACCCCGCTTTCGGATGCACCTGCTTGGGCGATGCCTAACTGCCTAGGCAGCCAGCTGCCACCAAGCTTCTGTTAAAACTGCCGGAACTCAACCGTGTTTAGCCTGACAGGCAGGTGTACCACTCCTGGGTCCTAGTAGGTCCTAGCAAAGGGCCCGACATTCAGAAACAACGAGCAATTAAAACCTGTCCGCGGGCACTCTGCATAGGAGTAGCACTGCACAAGCTTCTGATTGCATTGACACAGCAGCCGTGGTCACTTGTGGCAAGGGGAGTGGAAGGGCTACCACAAGAGTCGTCGCCGCTGACATCAAACGGCCCACGGCCATGAAGGCTACTGTACTCTTCAACGATTCAGGCGCATCTGGCCAGGGTCTGCTACCGGAAGTCTGGTGTTGGCTGAAAAAATCCTGCAGCTTATGTCCTGCCACCTCTGTGCTTGACCATCTGCGAATCTAAAACATTCTAGAACAAAGTAACTACAGTATGCAACAAAAACACTATAGACTATAGATTAAAAAACATATTAAATTGTAGTAATGCAGTAAAGCAAACAAACACCTGCTTGAAGTTCAAGGCAGGACACCCCTATCAGCATGAACGTACTGATAGTACTGGTAGCACTTACTGGACCTCAGAAACTTCTTATAATACCAATGACTCATGACTGCAGTGACTGAGTGCATAACAAACTCAGAACAGCTTCCCCAGTGGCGCAGCGATGAACCCTCTGCAGCGGAACGGTTCTGCTGAAAGGATGAGCGCACGGGCCACAGGACTCCAAAGGACTGGTTATGACAAGTTGTGCTCATGATTTTTTCTCGTGGAAATTCGTGACATGCCCAGACCGGGTGTGCGCAAAGTCATTTGCTCTGGTCACATTCAACCAAGCTCCTCAGCAAAACTGCCCGTCGAACACGAGCAAATCAAGGAATCCCCTTAGCAAACAAAGGACAACTTTGAGTTGAGCAATCCTGAGGTCTGATACAACTACCTTCATCACGTCATCATGAAATCTGGATTATATAATGCAAACCAAGTCGCACCCACCCCATATATAATAATGCTCTCAATGATTTGGAATAACCTCAGAAAAATACTGCCGCCGGTATTCCAAGTTTCGACTGCGCGTTCAACTATACAAAGGAGCACTACCAGGCTGAGTCTAAGTTTAACTCTCAGGCTGTTCTCCTAACAAATTCCAACCATAGTGGCAGGGTTGCCAGTTTTTTGGCAGCAGGATGCTGCAAGTATTCTATCACCACCTGGTGCCAGAACAGCCGGCATCCAAGAAGTCCGCTGAGTGGCAAATAGGTGCCGAATGGCGAGCTGGCTGCGATTCCACTCTGCATTGCGGTGGGCTGAGCCGAAAGGTCAACCTCCTTATCTGCTAGGCCACTCACTTCCTGAGCACAACATCGAAGGACGAATAACCTGTCCGCGACATTTGTCACTTCAAACGCCACAGGATTTGTCGTGATCTGCTCTTGTTCACAGTTCCTTTGACTCAATTCAAGTGGACATGCTGTTGTTTGGTTCCCCTTGGGTTTACATACTGTTGTTTGGGTTTACACACCTTCCAAAACAGTACGCACCGGATTTCGGGAATTGGCATCTCCAAAAAATACGGAAGACCACATCAGTTCAGCCCCAGGCTGCCCCAAAAACCCTTGACTGTCAACTTCAATTTGCTGCAGGACGATGCGAAGTTGTCCCCTCGAATGTCCCGATCAAAACATAAAGAGAATACTTGACCCTAGTGGCAGTTTTGATTGATTGATGCGAGGAGTGCAGCATGTAGCGAAGCAAGCGGCCAGCACTGCATTTAACATGGGCATCTCGTGTTGTGTTGTGCCCCGCCCAGGTTGGGGAGCAAAGGAACTTGACGGTTTCAGTGGGCAACCTATCTTGGTGCAAACTTGCAGGCATGACCTATTCCAATTCCAAGAGTCATTAGCACCTGTCATTGGCATATTTTGGCTAAACATCCGCATGGCTCCCTTTTGAAACAAAGCACATCATCGTCACGTTAGTTGAATGCTCAGTGTCCTTCAGCATGCGAAGCATTCCTCATGGGAAGGCTGCAAGCCCTTCGAGTTCACAAAACACCGTAGGACTGGCCTAACCACTGCCGTCTGCCGCCGAGTCTCGACGTGGCCATGGCAGCGGCCTGGCCACGGAGGGGCGGCGGCAGAAAGGAGGGGTCAGTTTGGTCCCATCTACGAGTATACCTATTGGTGGTACACTTGGCGTATCAACCAACCATAGTAAAAGACCATCTATGCGCCAGGATACCAAAACCTGTTGAAAGGTGGAAGGTCAATACCTTGCAGGTAGTGGAATGTTGCTAATTACAAGAATCTACCTGTTCCCTGCAACGAATCATGGTAAAACAATGATTGGGGGGGAGCGTACTCACGCGAACTCCCCACACTCAACCAATGTCACAAACCACCCTGCCGACAAAAAAAAAACTTTCAACCTTTCCGCAAGGGTCCACTTCAATCTTGCTCAAAGACACCGCAAAAGAATCCGCAAGAACAAATAAAGCATCTTGAACGTATCCAGCCAAAATCCAAGCTGCTGTGAGGCAAACTCATACGAAGCATAAGCCAGGCCCGACTTTGCAACCAAGCTGCCATTACTTGAGGCACTTGATGGTGCATCATCTCCCTCGGTGCATGGGCGTGCATGGGTTGACTGAGGTCCTTCTCAGAAATTGGCCGGTGGGCTAGGGTTTTCCTCTCCGAAAGCTTCCCATCAAACCCTGAAGACTCACCTCCTGCCGATCCTCGCTCTTCCCCCTGGCCGGTTTCGGCCTCCCCCAGGCACCGGAGACGTGGACCATGTCAACGACGACGACGTGGTCCGAAAGAGTCCGAGGTCGCACTGAACATCGGACGAAATGAACCACGCAGATTCCTTCGAAGGAATGAACCACCCAAACCGACCCAAACAGCAGAAGGAACGAGATGAGTCATGAAACAAAGTGGACCCATCTGTGCTGGCGAACGTGAGAGCCCAGCACCGCCTGTTCCCCCACTTTGGCACACTCCAAATCCAGGGTACGGCCACACTTTGGCAATATCGCCCTGCTCGGCCTCGGCGTAACTGCTCGCCACTTACGGCTTGGAAAAGTGGGGTCTTCTGGTAGTGAGTCAAACGGTTCCTTCAAAAGGTGGTTGGTGAATGCCCTGGGAATGCCTCTCATGAAAAAAGACCTCTGTGTGTGTACATACTACCATGGTCCACCCTGGATTCAGACCCACTCTGCCGTGTATCCCCATGAGCCACATACAGTATATGCATGGTTTAAGAACATG